GCCAGCAGTGCTTCAAATCTGAGAGGCACAAGGTTGTCCCCAGCTAGCATGAGTCACAGAAGAATAAGCTAATCCTGGGAACTGAGCAGTGGGCTGTGTTTTAGATCCTACTGTCAGCAGCCTTTAAAGGGTCAGGCAATTGCCAATAATATTAGCTATTTTGGTGCTAAATGGAAAATAATAGGGGATTGCTCTCCACGGGAACCAACATGTACTCAGTGGGGATTTGGTTCACAGTTCCAATAAAAATAGCATGTTTTTGTGACCGAGAGAGCCATGAAATAGGCACATTTAAAATTTAAAATTTAAAATGTTTAGAGCCTGTTTTCTTGAAAGCTGCAAAATGTTTCAAAATCGGTCAAAATACATAGAAAAGACAAACAAGCCTGGGAAAGTCAGCAATGGAAGAAGGAGGAATGGGAGCTGATGAGTCAAAACATTTGTACAGAATTTGAAGCACCAGGGATTCTTCACCTACCATATCAGTACCCGATCCTGAGGGCTCCGAAATGGATGAGTGTTAAAGCCTAGGGTATGCAAAGAGACAAAAGCCATTTGTTCTAAGAATAATCACTGGATAATACCTTCTCAGGAACCAGCATTCCTGTCAAAAGCTTAGTGATTTTGCAGTATAGCACCCCTCCCCCTTTTTAAACAAGTAGAATGCTCTACTATTTAGTGAAAAGATCAACATCTAGACAGATAGGAAGGAAAATATCTTATGGCTTCTTCCCAGCAACCAACGCTTTATAAAGCATCGTCATTGCAAAGTAAGTAAAACACAAAGTTTAGAAGGTCAGTCAGAAAGGGTGGACTCAATCATAATATATTTACACACAGAAATCTCATTTCCTGATCTTACACTTATTCCAAAGAAGAAACAAATTTACATAAGTAGTTCCAAAACATACTAGCTTATTTGGAGAAAACAAACTTTTTGTTAGCGTCTCTAGAAATAACCTTCAAATCAGAATTTTCATATAACGACCATCACATTTCAGAAGTTTTTGATAAAGATGTTGGATTGTAGAGCCTGGATGCTCTACTAACAAAAAGAGGCAAATTTGAAAGTATGTTTATCTCTAGTTTAAGCATTGTGAATCTGAAAAATGGTGTTTAGGTCCCTAGCCCAGTTGGCAACTCTTTCAATTTTTGTCCTGGAAGCATATAGTTATATTTTTGTCCCGTTTCATAATCAACCACTCAGAGAAAAACCAAGTCATAAAAGTGTCATAAAAAAAATACTGAAGGGAAGAGGTGGATGTCAATATCCAGCGATAAGCATGTATTTATCTACATTTAGTTTCTTTTAAACATTTTTAGAACTGTAACAGATGGTTATATTCATAAGCTTGAGTAAGAATACAGCTGCCTCCAAGTTCTGAAATAAATGCATATATGCCCTCAAACTACTGTACACATCACCTACCCTCCCTTTAGGAGAAACTGAAGTTAATTAAGATTTCCCTGGATATTTTAAAAGTAAATAATAAAAAGGAACTGAACTAAAGACATATTCTGGAAAAAAAAAATCAACTAGCCGTGGCACAGCCCCTACCCCTTCTTCAGCGAGCCACACTGCCAGATCACATCAGCACGCTGGTAGGCATCACTGAGAGACTGTTCCTCTTTGAACACCTTATAGGCCTGAATGAGCATGTAAATTACCCCAGGAAACTGTGGCACCAGTGAACTAGCAGATCCCAAGTATTGTCCACACGAGGAGGGTCATTGCCGGAAGGGAATTTCAGCTGGCAGACGTAGTCTACACTAGGCTTGACCAAACTGTGTAACTTCCCATGGCTCACTTGAAGGCTGGGCTGCCTCAGGTGGTAATAAATTCCTGCCAGGCCATGAGCAGCCCCGACATGGTATTCTTGGTACCATTCATACACCAGTGGAGTCTTTCTAGCAGGGTCTTCTCCAGAGGTTGACTGTTTCACAAATCTGCTGAACAGGGCTTTGAGGAATCTTTTCCACTCCAGAGTTCTTCTTCACAAAGAGAAGAGTATAGATGTAGCCCATTCGACCATAGAGCATTTCATTTGGAGCATATGGGGATCAGTCTTATTTAGGTGAATTAGCTGGGCGATACAGTCTTCTGCCCACTTCTCATTGTTCATCTTGTGATGCAGCACAGCGGCCTCTGCCAGGGGGCCCCTATCCCCACAAAGGAAGGTGATGGAATGCTTGGTCAGATAGTTCGGACTTTGCTTTACATAGCCATGTGCCATTTGTAGGTAGGTAGGTCTCCAAACACATCCTAGAGGTGTAAGTAAAGCACAGCAATACCTGCCCAGCCAGTGTAAACAGTGCTGTCCCAAGTGTCTGCTGACTTTAGGCTTCTCTCCATTCGCTGAAGAAGCTCTCGAATCTTATTGTTCAGGAGTTGTGAGAATTGAGTAGAGTCATCCCAGCAGAATCAGAGTGGCCTCCAGCCAGGGATTTGTTGTAATCGGCATAAGGATTCGGGGAGGCCCTTTGCGCCATGGTGCCAGAAACGAGCCCCGCGGCCTCGGGACAAAACGAGACACGCCGCTTTCACCTGTCCTGTGTTCTTGTAACCCTACTGCTTGTACCCACCACCCTGTCCTCCAAACCTACCTGTTAGTCGAGGCTATATTTTTTTTCTTGTCGTCCAAAACTCTTGGACTTTTAATAAACCTTTGATTGATTACAATCAAATTTATGCTTGGCTCTTCTCAGATTAGATGATAGGGAAAACCAAGTTGTGTATGTTTCTCTTTTCTCACAGGCTATTTTACATATGAAGTTTTAATTTGGTTTAAAAATAATTCCTTAAGTAATCTCCCGTTAATGTCTAATAAAATTTAAAAATTTCAAATCCAAGATATAATCCTTTTCCTGTAACTCAGTCAGTTGAGTTTACGCTGATACCCATACTTTCTGTCAGGATCTGCTTGTCCTTCTCTCCGTACCTGCCTTATCTCGGATTCCCCAAGAGGACCAGTTTTCACATTTCTCTGTTGACCTGAGACATTTTCTTTACAGTGATGTTTTTCAAACTGTTATTGGTAAAGGACGAGTTTTTTGCTCTTTTAAAAAAATTTTCCAGTCCACCATGGACCAATACTTCTGTTAAATACGATAAAATTAACTATTAGGGAAATGAAAGGCCTCCCCTTACAAAAAAAATACACGGTACAGGATCCCTGATCATGGGCCTAGATGTCACGCAATGTCAAATTATCATAGTTTCTAAATGCTCACTCTTACCCTCTCTGCTTGTTTTGTGGCAGACTGGTTTGCCCTGGGAGCCACACTCAGAGTAGCAACTGCCAGAGAGCAGTGGTTCTCAGGTGTTTTGGTCCCAGAACCCCTTTTACTCTTAAAATTTGAGGACTCCTAAATGCTTTTGTTTACATAGGTTATATCTATTACTGTTGATGTTAATTTAGAAATTAAAGCTGAGAAAAATTTTAAATATTTACCAGTTCATTTTTAAAAAGCTACTGTATGTTATATTATTAATTCTGTTTTTATGAAAAATATTTTCTCAAGCAAAAAAATTGAGAATGGTATTTTTACATTTTTGCAAATCTCTTTAATGACTAGCTTAACTGAAGACACTAGATTCTCGTATCTGCTTCTACATTCAGTCTGTTATGGTTTGTTGTTTTGGTTGAAGAAAATGAAGATAATCTGGCCTCACACAAATGTGTAGTTGGAAAAGGGAAGAGTATTTTAATAATAGCCTTTTCAGATAATTGTGGGTATATTTCTTTGATATTGCCCCAAAACTCAGCAAGTGGTGGGGTAGTTGCAATACGGAATCTGAAATCCTATCAATAAACTTTTTGTACCTCTTCCAAATGTTGACACGTTCCTTTATAGATATTTTTAAAATCACATTCGTTGTCACCACTTACTTCATCAGAAAATTCTTAGATTATTTGGAAATTGGAAGACTCATAGGGGCAGATACTAGTTTTCCAATATTTTGATTTTTCTTGGAAGATCAAATTTTATTATTGGCAACAAATACTATCAGCTGTTTTCCTTGAAGTGACAAACTTGCTTGTTCACTTTTGAGAAAATACCTGCCAAATTCTCAAGTTCAAATAACCGTAGTTTTTCTCTTAGTCATGTTCCACGAAGAAGTGGCCAGTTCACCTTGCAGTTCAATCACAGAAGTACTTCCCCTCAAGGCAATCTTCATACTTGCAGCACGCAGAAGTGCTTTATGCACCCTTCCCATTTTGTCACGAGGAATACTAGAAGGACATGTGTTCAAGGGTTGAGATTTAGTAAAAGTAATTTTTACTGCTTCATCAAGGATATTAAGTAAAGCTGGCTTGTTTGTTTGTTTGTTTGTTAACTGCCAGCGTATGGCTGTGAAGGATACGGCACTAGTATAATTTGGTGTCATCACTGCCTTTATTTGTGCTGAGATGCCAGCAGTCTGACCCACCATTGCTTTTGCCGTATTAAGTGCAAATGTCAACATCATGAAAAAGACAACATCTTGGTGTTATTGTGAAGATGGTTTTGACCTTGCAGGATCCCTGGGAGAGTCTCAGTAGCCTGTCCTCCCCTTACCACCCCCGGGTCTGTGCGCCACACGTTTATGTCATTAGAAAAGCAGTTTGACCAGCACTTGGCTTTTGAAAGTCCAAGAAAATATGTTACGCATTTTTTTGAAGGAAAAATTATTTATTTATACCCAGATTTGTTTGTAAAAAGGTTTGAGGCCAGTAAAAATAAATTGTGTAACCAAGGTAACAAATCTGACAATTAGCAGAATTTCTGATTTTCTTTTTCTCTTAAAACTTGCTGTACTAAGTTTAATCGTTTGGGGTGATTTTTACAGTAACAATTAGTTGTGTTATTGGTAGATGTTGGATTACATCTTTGGACAATCCAAAAATGACACGTTTTAATAGGAGTAAACTAGGGAACCTGGCTTAGGTCCACATTTTTGGCAAAGTATATGTGGCTGCTTATGCTCTGAAAGGGCTAATAAGAATTTTTACTTACAGGTGCCCGGGAATATCACGTCCAATTTTTTAGCAACCAGCCAGAGAGGGCGTGGGTTCACGAAAAGCGGGTCCGAGAGTACAAAGGTCACAAACAGTATGAAGAACTACTGGCCGAGGCGACCAGACAAGCCAGCAATCACTCTGAGAAACAGAAGGTGACTGATGACATAGGAACATGGTCAACTGAATGTGGACTATAAAGGACTTAATAATTTAGTAGAGCTTTTCATACTTGAATTCAAGCAATTAGAATGACTTATTTTAGTCCTCTAAGTTCAATTTTAATAATTCATTGTAAGGGTGTCAATAAATTTTATATGTCATATAAACAACATTATAGTCCTACTGAAAACTTTATCTGCTTAATACAATTTTGGATTCTATTTTGAACTGAATTCAAATGTACGTAGTCTAGTAGATGCTAGTGAAATGTGGATTTTGTCAGAGATTTTTATGTTTTTTCCTATTTCAGCATTTCCCCCTAATTCCCCTTTATTCTTATTTAGCAAAATTGTTTTATGAAAGTAAGGTTTTAAAAATATTTAGTACTTACTCTGAGACAGGCACTGTTTTTAAGCATTTTATATATGTATTAATCCATTTAATCTTCATTACAACTTTGGTGAGGTAGATACTGTTATTCCTATTTCTGCAGATGAAGAAATTGAGACACAGAAACCTTAAGTAGCGGATTCAACCAAGGTCACACTAGTGATGGAACTAAAGATGTTTGTTGTGGTGGTGGACATACTAGGATTTTGACATGAACTCTTGATAATCTGTCTGGTCGAGATTTTTAAACTCCACTAATATAGTGTGGGCCTCTGGTGATTCAGAAATTTGTCATGTTTTCACTCTAAGCTAAATATTTTCACAGAGGATTTTGATTACTTTTATCAAACTTAACACTTCACAGTGTTTAAATAACAGTGTTTGACATATACTGTACCGTCTCCTTGTTTCATTAGCTAATTTCCGGCTACCTCAGTCTAACCCCCTGGATAATTCCTAATTGCTTTGCTCATCTCACATACCTTTATTCAAAATTTTCTTAACTGTTTTGCCAATCCAAAGTCTTCTGATCAGGACTCTGGAAACTGTGATGCAGGTTTATTTTTCCTCTCATACGATCCTGTTGTTTTGTATTGTATCAGTTTCCACGTGTTCCTCAGGGCTCTCCTTTCTCTGCATTCTGCCCCTGTTTGCATTCTGGCACAGGCTGGCCGCTCAGCTCCAAATGCTGGCTCTGTGCCACTTACTTAGCTTTGCTGTGGTCTGTGTGGCACCCCTGAGCTTTAGGGTGTCGTCTTTAATGTTAGTGTTTTATTGGCCCCTGAAAGTTATCCTTTCTGTAATCTTTCTTCTCTCTGCCATCATCACTGCCAGCTTTTTACAAATGTGACATGAGGAGGACGACTCCCTCTTGGAGGGACTTGTCCAGCAGAGTGGGCAACGAAGAAGGGTTTACTGTCAAAGAGTGGACCTGCATGTCCTTGATAGCAGCGCTGATTCATCAAAGTCATGGAGTTAGAACATTCCCTTGTTTGACTGAAGACCCTGAAGATGTTTATGCATACCTGGGAAGATGATAAGACCACATGGGAAATACGTGTTGGTTTAACTGTCCCTGTTAGATTAAAGCATGTTCCATAATGCCTGTATCTTTCTTTACAGATTCGGAAACCCCGGCCTCAGCGAGAACGTGCTCAGTGGGATATCGGCATTGCCCACGCAGAGAAAGCCTTGAAAATGACCCGGGAGGAAAGAATCGAACAGTATACTTTTATCTACATTGATAAACAGCCTGAGGAGGCTTTATCCCAAGCAAAAAAGAATGTTGCCTCCAAGGCTGAAGTTAAAAAAACCCGAAGGCCAAGATCAGTGCTGAATACTCAGCCAGAACAGACCAGTGCAAGCGAGGCGGCCTCCTCACTATCAGGTACTGAAATTCGGAGACACAGCCAGAGGCGGCACACGAGCGTGGAAGAGGACGAACCACCTCCTGTTAAAGTAGCCTGGAAAACGGCAGCTGCGAGGAAATCCTTACCAGCTTCCATCACAATGCACAAAGGGAGCCTGGATTTGCAGAAGTGTAACATGTCTCCAGTTGTGAAAATTGAACAAGTGTTTGCTCTTCAGAATGCTACAGGAGATGGGAAATTTATCGATCAGTTTGTTTATTCAACGAAGGTACCTTCTTTTTTCATGGGTTTTTTGGGGGAACCTAGGTATCTAGTAAGTAGTCAATCTTGGCATTTAAAAAAACCCCAGGGCTTCCCTGGTGGCGCAGTGGTTGAGAGGCCGCCTGCCGATTCAGGTTACACGGGTTCGTGCCCCGGCCCGGGAAGATCCCACATGCTGCGGAGCGGCTGGGCCCGTGAGCCATGGCCGCTGAGCCTGTGCGTCCGGAGCCTGTGCTCCGCAACGGGAGAGGCCACAACAGTGAGAGGCCCGCGTACAGCAAAATAAAAAACCAAAAAACCCAAACAACACAAGGTCATAATTTGAATACCCTTTGTATTCACTGCACTTGAAATGTACAGTCAGTTTACTCTATTTAAGATGGGGGCAAAAAAGGCATAGGCAAAAAAGCTTTGTTTTTCTTCTTTTTTTTTTTCTCTCTTTTGTAATATCCTCATCTGTACTAGATTAATCTTGAGCTGTGCAGCCAAAATTGAGCTGAGCTCCCTAAAATCCTGGAAAAAAACTGGGCACTTTGCCTGTTTCTGGTTTGTGTGGTTAGTTTTTCTTAGTTGCAAAGTATGCTTCTTATTAAATCATTTCTGTCAGTTAATCTGAATTAACCATTGTAATCATTATACCTGTTGCTCTGTTTGGTTGCACCAGCAATTTTGTTTGGCTCATGTTGACCTGGGATAGCTAATACATTTTAGAGAAATACCAGAACTGTGTTTGTTCTGTCACAATGAACTGTGGTGACAGCTTGTGTAACGGGGTGAAAGTAGCCTCTTCAAACGGAATGCCTCCCTCAGACAGCCCTGGGCCTCCATTTAGGGCACTTATACTTTAGCTTGAAGACTTTAAAACTCTTCTACAACATTTGTAATTTCTATTCCGTGTACCCTCCCAGCCGACACCACAACTGTGGGCTTGTGAATCCAAATTTAGTGGCACCTCATGGATGTGTGCTATTTTTAAAGAATTCTGTGCTTATTTCCTAACGTTGTCATATGCACATTAAAATAAATATAGGTACACCTCATCAGTGATATATTTTCCTAAAGAAAAGCATAAGGGTCCTCTGTTAACCTGTTTCTGCCTATAGGTTCAACTGATTTCAGTAAGGCGAAGCTCCTTGGAAAAACTTAAGTTACAGTCCCCACTTAGTTCTGTTGACAGCTTTGACTAGCAAGTAAATACTTTGCATCTTTTTCGAATGCGAATTGACTTCATTCTTGGAGCTGGTTTTTATCTGCTTTTGGATGCACAAATCAAACTTTGTCACACACCCCCTGCAAAGAGTGCTATTTAAATCAAATTTGAGATAAAACTGACCTTTTAAAAATGAAAGCTTTAAAAATACATATACTATATTTATAAATCACTCCTTTATTTCACTGCATTAAAAATACCTAAAATGAGACAGAACTGTAATTGTCCCTGCCTTCTCTCTGCTCCAGATTGCTTATGGGGTGCACATTTTCATCATACTTCTGTAATCTAAGGATATCCTTGTCTTTCAAAGACGTGTTGATATTTTTATCTGTAGTAGGGTACTTTACCACATGAAAATGACTATAGTTCTCTTACTGTGATATGGGTAAAGGGAGAGACTATTCAGACCAGAAAATATTTTGGTTTTGACAGAAAATTAGATGATACAGGTTTATTTTTTAGTGATAATCATCATCTGGACTTAGAAAACAGGTTTTTTTCCCCCACATAGTCTCATTGTACATTTTAGAGTACATCCTGATGACTTAATAAAATTGTTCTGATAATGGCTAAGGTAATAAATTAACTGCAATCAAAGACCATATAAAGTCCAAGCACAGGGCTTCCCTGGTGACGCAGTGGTTGAGAGTCCGCCTGCCGATGCAGGGGACACGGGTTCGTGCCCCGGTCCGGGAGGATCCCACATGCCGTGGAGCGGCTGGGCCCGTGAGCCATGGCCACTGAGCCTGCGCGTCCGGAGCCTGTGCTCCGCAACGGGAGAGGCCACGGCAGTGAGAGGCCCACGTACC